TCCTGTTATTTGACAATAAATATCTGCCATAAACAGAGAGGTAACCGAAATTCGAGTAATACGAAATTCATTACCGATGTTAGAAATCCTGATCCGGGTGCTTGATCAACACCGAGCAGCAATCTCACGAATGTTATCATATAATCCTTCACGAATGCTTGGTACAAAAGTGTGTCCAGCATGGATGCGCTGAAAACGCTGCCAGCTGCGAACGGTAGTCGAAACATGTACGATATGTGAGAACCCCTCTCCTTTTCTCTCTGTTGATTCAATAAACGAAACTCGATTTACATTATACACATCATCGTTGTCGCACGGAAATAGTTCAAAGCTAACAGCATTAAGTAATCAACGAAAATTTCGCTCAAGATTATCTGCACATCAGTTATAGAGAGTGAAATTGATGCTATTGAAATTGATCTATTTTTCTTCTCATTATTACTGTATTTTCTCGTTATTACCGTATGTCTCATTATTCTCATTATTACTGTATTTTCTCGTGATTACTATACGCCTCATTATTCTCATTATTATATGTATATTATATTTATATACGAAGATATAATATCTTTTATTAATTAATATATCTATTAGTTAATTATATATATATATATATATACACATATTATAATATCTTTATTAATTAATATATCTATATAAATATCTACGAAATTATTGGCAGTTCCCGAGGGTGAATTATTTGCGATAGAAATACGATACCTTTTCCATTTTGCTAAGGTGAAGAGCATACTTGTCGTGTGCCCTAAACTGCATGAATCGCATGTTGCTCGATTGCGACAGCTCCGTTATGCTCTTTATGCTTGGAAAGAATCTGCAAGACGTGCGAAATATATTATAAAAACTAAATTAGAGCAGTCGAGTTATAAATAGTTCAGAACGTCGAATCTTGTTTTCCCTAAAATTATATTCTTTTAGTTGGATCACCGTTGTACTGAATCAAATCAAATTAGAGCATTGAAATTATAAATAGCTCAGAACGTCGAATCTTGTTTTCCCTAAAATTATATTCTTTTAGTTGGATCACCGTTGTACTGAATCAAATCAAATTAGAGCATTCAAGTTATAAATAGTTCAGAACGTCGAATCTTGTTTTCCCTAAAATTATATTCTTTTAGTTGGATCACCGTTGTACTGAATCAAATCAAATTAGAGCATTGAAATTATAAATAGCTCAGAACGTCGAATCTTGTTTTCCCTAAAATTATATTCTTTTAGTTGGATCACCGTTGTACTGAATCAAATCAAATTAGAGCATTCAAGTTATAAATAGTTCAGAACGTCGAATCTTGTTTTCCCTAAAATTATATTCTTTTAGTTGGATCACCGTTGTACTGAATCAAATCAAATTAGAGCATTCAAGTTATAAATAGTTCAGAACGTCGAATCTTGTTTTCCCTAAAATTATATTCTTTTAGTTGGATCACCGTTGTACTGAATCAAATCAAATTAGAGCATTCAGGTTATAAATAGTTCAGAACGTCGAATTTTGTTTTCCCTAAAATTATATTCTTTTAGTTTGATCACCGTTGTACTAAATAAACAACTAATTAAAAAAATGGCTGTAGAAAAGACTGTAGAAAAATGTTTCGAACGACGTAACTCAATTTGATCCCGAAGTATTCGAATAAAAGTTAAATTGAAAAATTATCCGAGGGCACAATAATCGGGGAGCAGGGGGCACAGTAACTGATCCGCGCGTACCTTGCTTCGAAAAATTCGTAGTTAGCTTACTTAAACATCGTTTGCACCGCGACGATCGTGTTACAGTCGGCCAAAGTATCTTCTTCCGCGGAGTTGCTGAGCTCCTTGTTCACGACGACGACGTTTTCTGCAAGAGTAATGCCGGCACGAAGAAGATCGTCCAAACAGTCGATGGATCCTCGCATCCAGTATACCAGAGGAAAATAGGACACCGCGTCGAGGAACGCGATTTTTGGTTTCCGTTCCAGCAGCAGAATGATAGGATTTAAGGATGTTTTCGACCTAACAGAGATATTAAACAATTATTTCAAAGTGTGATTGTGATATTCATTCGAAATATGTTCGATGACATCGACATCATTTTGTTTGTAATTATTACTTTACATATTATCACATATTATCAATTCTTTTGTGAAGAAATATTTTCTTTTATTTTGTATGCGATAAAAATTCAATTCTAAGAGAAATTAATGGAGAAACAACAATCAAATATTTGAAATAAGATATAAAATAGCTGTAAATAACTTCTTCCCTAATAGTAAAGTAATAAACATTTGATATATTTATATATAGGGAATAAGATAATTCTTCTGATATGGATTTGTTGGGAATAATTGCTATAACAGTATTAATTTATTGTTATTATTATTATTACTAATATTAATGTTATTATTATTACTAATATTAATATTAATATTATTATGATTATTATTAATTAATTAATTATTAAATATCAATTAATATAGCAGTACCAATTCAGTCGGTACTTTTAATTGAAAGTAAAATTTATACCTGAAATGTGCTCGTAGAGGAATTATGAAGTTGTAGATCCCATTGCTGGCGTAATCAGCAGCCAGTATGATGGTCTTGTTCTGCCAATTGTAGTCTTTCGCGTTTCTGTAACTACAGTGCTGACAAACCTACGGAAATATAATAATTATAATTCTATAAAACTCTGTGTAGCAGTAAAAAAGAAACTCGAGATCTTTTTATTTCGCCTAAAAGCTTCATATAGAATTTTCAACGGCGTAAGAACCGCTGGGATATTATGATTGAATTTTCATAATCGCTTATATAGTCAATTGATTGTTATTTATACAAGTAGCACACGTCTACATTGTCGAAGTGTCGTAAATTATTCATGGAGAAATAACTACCTGCGCCAACTGAAGACAACACAAAGGTTTCTTTTCTTTCAGTAGGTAACACAATGTCGGTGAAACACCAATGAATGGTGAAACAGGTGGAAATCCTTTGACGATTCTGCAACAACGTCGTATCAGTATTAAATTGTTATAGAATTTGCGTAATCGGATGCGTAGCAGCTGCATACAGTTTCTTGTGTTTCGCTTCGTTTTAATTACAAATGCGTTTTCTTTCTTTTTTTTTTTAAATCGGATCAAACTTTTTAACGCCTAAATGATGGATGCGATTGTGTTGAATATGATCGAAACGATTTGTATTATTAACATTTAATTATCGTATTTCTGTGCGGCAAACGTATGAGTATATCACTTGTACCTTTATTCTGTAGAATCGTGTTGCCTTCGAATCTAAGAAGAATCATTTTCTTTTTTCGTATCTAACATAATCGACAATCAATTGCAATCGACACAATGATCTACATATCAATCTTATTCTTTCCATAAAAAATCGAAAGGCGGCTGCAATATTGATCTACTTCACATTTTATCACAGCGACGTACAGAAAGCGTGGACTTTCACGTTCCTTTGTGCCTCGTACATAATTTATTTCATATATCGCAAGCAGACTCGGGGAAAATAACAAAGTGGAGGCAAGACTCCATGTTAATATCATCTTTCGAGGCGCCTTATGAATTTGATGCCGAAGAAAGCAGAAACGTGTGCGAAATTAGCGAGAGACACAATTAGAAACGATTACATCAAAATTGTTACACGCAAAAGAAAAAAGGAACAAGGTTTGTTCGTTCGAAGTGCTTTTTATGATAGAAACGTTAAAAATAGTTTTAATCTTTCCAGATAATTCTTTGCTAAAATGCCTATAAGAATGTTTCTTTTTATTCTTGTACATATTTAGTTGTGCAGAATTTGTTGAAAGTTTTTTGCCATTTACAATGGTTTGTTCGTTCGAAGTGCTTTTTATGATAGAAACGTTAAAAATAGTTTTAATCTTTCAAGCTAATTCTCTGCAAAAATGCCTATAAGAATGGTTTTTTTTTAAATTTTTGTACATATTTAGTTGTGCAGAATTTGTTGAAAGTTTTTTGCCATTTACATATATGTATATTTGGCTATAAAATAAAAGATTAGAATATTTCGTTCGTCGTAACATGAAATACACCGTGTAAACGTAACAGAAATATATGTACAATATACATATGTACAGTAGGCAAGTTGTGCTATTCATATACAAAAAGTGACAAACATGTGCAACTGTGCGAAATGGTGAAAACATAGATGACACGGTGAAACATTTGAAATATGAATACTCAGAATGCTGAACAATATATATATGTATGTACATGCCTAGCATGCTTTTAATTAAAATTGTTGTAAATTGAATATAGAATCGTACAGAATGTACTTTCGTGAGGCATTT